TTTTACTTTTAACTTGTAAATAGTTATTTGCTTTGAGTGTTAATAAAGTTTGATAGATTCTTATTTTTATGGGTAGTAATTGGAGTCGCAAGGTTTATTAAACTTTTTCTCCGTGTTTTACAGGTAGCGACAGTAGAAGCTACACGAGGCGAGGCTGCTGGGCACGCGATGAAACTCGAGGAGGAACTGGAGCACACTAAACGTGTTCAGGGAGAGACCACTGAACGGTTAGTCTCTAGGAGCGCGGACGTGGAATCCGTCACCAAATCTCTGGTAAGTTTTTCCGAGGATGGAATTAAGGGCGGAATGTTTTGCACTTATGCAATTTTTCAACTGTCCAAAGTAACCATAATTGCATTGTTTTGCTTTATTTCGCGTTGTGGTTTGTCCTAAAAAATCCTGGTGCCTCCTTCAAATGTTTGGTCACCCGCGTTTTTCCCGCGCTTGTTTTTATTTTGAGATGTGATTGGCTCCCTGTAATATTTACAGGGATTTTTTATTGGCTGTTGGGATTGCTTTGCTTTGGTTTGGCTCTTACGACACTCAATCAAAATGCGCCAAACGTGTAGACCTCATACGCTGTTGTCCGCGTTATTGAGCGTACAAAATATAGTTTTTTCTTGTTCCAAACCTCGGCTCTCAGCTGTTGATCTAACTGAAGATCAAGAAGACCGAAGACATAATAGGAATGAAATACTAAGTATCTACTTAAACTAAAAGTTTCTCACCCGAACCGCAGTTTTACGCAAGCAGTGGGTCTTAGGCACTCTCTCTAAGAGGATTGATTTAATATAAAAAAAAAATGTCCTTCCACAATTAGCTTTTGGCTCTGTTGACGCTGTTCACAAAAATAAATGTTCAGATAATTGCATTGTCCTCAGCTTTCAGCTAACGAGGTAACCTACATAGTAACTATGGCTTAAACTATTAAATTCATAACTTCTGATTTTTGATATGCTGTCTTCATTCCTTGCCTTTTTCTCTCGTAGTTTTTTGAAGAAGAAGGAGAGCAGCCGGTATAATATTTTATAATGAACTTATGCATTTAGTAATTTCAATTTAATCCGATAAAAATATAACTTAGTTAACGATTTTTGCCGCTGTATCTTTTGTCTGTAAAAAAAAAACCGATTTTCTAACTTGTATTTAAGTTCCGGTTAAGTTATCAGAAAATGAAGAGGAAACTGATTCGCTAAACGGAAACCTCATGATACTAAGTGCTACATGTAAAGTTTATTCTTTATTTTCTGTCATTCGGGGTCACAGCAAAGTTTCGAATCGCTAGCCCACTTACTTCAGAAACTTACGATATCTCAAATCCTTAATGCTTTGGCTGCCCCAGAAATTTATTTTTGTTGTAGTTTTCGAGTTGTTTTCATTTTAAACCGGTATAGGTTTAATCGATACAAGTTTGCTCTCAAGGGAACGATCAAATACTGTTTATAAAACGATTGAAAATTACTTTCCTTTGATATTTTACACCTTTCTCTTTTATCTTTTTTCACATCGATTTCGTTTTAAATTTTAAAAAAAGGGGCACACCCTTCAGGTTTATATTTGACAATCAGCCGATAAAAATAAATATTCAATAAACTACGAGTAATTTTATATTTCGCGTAGGCGGAAGCGTTCGCGGCCGATTTAAAATATTTTATGTTTATAAACCTTAACAAACCTTTTCTCAATTTTTTTCCTTAAAAAAAAAATAATAATAACAAAATCTTATTCATTGGAACCCCTAGGTGTCTGAAATCTTAAACACGTAAAATATCTGAAAGCGGAGGTTGATGTTGCAGTTGGTTTTATTTCCTTAACAGCTTATTGGCAAAAAGAATGAACAAAAAATAAAACCACCTGAAAGCCATTTAACTAATCAGTTCTCAAAAGCTTATTTTTTGTTGTTCTAAATTTAACAAAGACTTGCCAAAAATTGGCGACCGAAGAACAGAATGCGACAACTTTTCTATAGTTAGAAGGTGCAGGTTTCCAAAGTGTTATGATTAGATTAACATAATAACCCTGGAAAAAAAAAAAACCTTTTTTGTTATTTTAATTTATGTCCACTTTGATCAAGGACAGTAGAAAATAAATGGTGACGCCTGAATAAAAACTATTAATATTTAAGTCAAAGGGGCCAATGTGGCGAAATTTCTGTCGTGTTCAAGAGCTAGTTGTCGCTCCAAAATTTCTCAGAAACAAGCCCAAGTTAATTTTGACGACAACTGGATACGAGAAAATGCATCAAAACAACTTGGTACTCGTTAAGGATTTTTAATTCTTCATTTTATTCCACGGCTGATTCAGGAAAATTACTTCAAGAAACTTACACCGTGAACTGCAAAATTTGATCAACTTGGACAAAATAACTTTCAAACATCTTAATCTTTGAGCAGTTTCTCAAAGCTTTTCTTATCTGATTTTGGATTTTGATCATTTGGCTCAAGACTGTTATTTATTTTTTATAGTTTTATTTGTGCATAGCACCACCAAGATAAACGGCTTTCCATTACGAATTGAAACGTTGAGATAAACTTTCTCCAAGTTCGCCTCGACTGTTTTCCTAAAATTCCGATCAGTGATTTTTCTAGAGAGACGTACTCAGTTTTTATCATTATTAACGAGTCTTTTTTAAAGTGTTTTAGTTTAAGGGAATTAGGATAAAGCCAGATTTTTTTTTACAATCGTCCATGATTTCCTTCCTTTGACAGGCGCAGCTGGAAAAAATGGTGACTAAACTGAAAGTAGAAAAGGCTCAAGTGGAGTCTTGTTTAAGAGAAGAAGAGGCAAAGTGCGGCATGCTGTTAAGAGAAGTGAAGGATGCAAACGAGGTGAGGAAAAAAATTTTTGCCTCAGGTATGTTCTGCCATGTTGTGACGTAATCAAACCATTCCCTCTGCTTGGCTACCACGCCAAAAAAATTTAAAATTCCTTCGTAAATCTCCGAGTGACTGACGCCTGAAATTTTATTGTTCGAAATTTTTGTCAATTGATAACGTGAATCGACGGCAGGAAACAAGTATAAGTTTGCACGGCTTTTAGTGTGGATTTGTGCAGTATAAAGCTCTCCTATGGTATCAGAGGGATAAAATTAAGTATTGACATCACTTGTGTTTTCAGAGGTTGTAGAAATTCCAATTTCTACAACTTCTGACAACACGTGTGAAATTCATTCTTAATTTTACTCGACCCCATGCAATTACCTATACTAATAATACTGACGACCAAAATTTTTTAACATCTTTGTTTTGAAAGATAAAGCGAAGCAACGAGCGAATTTAAAGCGTTTACTCTGGTCACAGATGAAGTATTAGTTCTCGTCAAAATTGAAAAAACCAAATTGTAAAGTGGTGAGCATATAGAAAATGCTCATTTAGAGCTAATTATGACAAATTTTTTTTCAGGTCTGATTTTCGCTATTGCGTAAATAGCACTCTCTCTAATGCGAGGATCGTGCATCATACGAACAAATTTTAAACAAGTTATGCCAAATAGACACAGCTTTTTAAAGGCTGATAGTTTCGAAAGAAACTGTTTTTGGCTGCGTTGGTGGGAGTAACGAAATAATTTGGATATATCAACAAAGTTGAAATGGTAAATTGGCCACCGTAACGATTACAAAAGCTGACGTTTCGAACGTTAGCCCTTCGTCGGAGCTTTTTATGCTAGCTTTTAAGCAATCTGATATTTTTTTTCAAATTTCTTTTCTGAATTTTTAGTTTTTCGATTTTTTTTTTATCGCGAAAGAAGGATCTTTATACTACAAGAGCGTAGTTCTGTACTTTGATTGGCGAGTGTATCGTTTCCGTATTTAGATATTCCATTAATATTCCAATGAGGTTTTCTCTTCATTTTGTAAATGTAAACATTTCAGTGTGATCATATCGTCCTCGTATGACGTCACTCTATTCAAACTGTTGTGCTTTCCGCCATCTTGGCGTAGAGAATATCTTATTTCGCAGTGACTTTTGTGTGTGATATTTCAGTTATCAAAAATCTTTGTTTAGAATCGGTTTTTACTAGCGTCGAAATAAGAAATCCGCTCAAAGATTCAATTTTACCTCGTTTTATAAAACCGAAAAGTACAGCCGAAGAGCGAATGCAGCGTTAGATTCGCTGTCTATGGTGAGATCAATTTTATTTTGAGTATTGCATCAATCGTGTTTTGATTTACTTTAATGTACGTTTCCTCATTCGTCTCGTGTTGTAACTTTGATCTTAATTTATTAATGGTGAAAATCAGTTTTCGTATCTTGCGGTTTCGAAAGTCATTGTATTTAAGTATTAATTATACATATTAATCGCGTCGTGTGCTATTTCAACCAATCATTAACATTTATCTCGCTTATTAAAAACGCATGACCTCCCATTTTCGCCAGACGCTAATCTCACAAATACTTTAAGACGCGAGAAGGATTTTAACCATTAAAGAAAATAATGCATCATCTGTTTAGTGTGAGCATTATTCAGCATTTCATCAGTTTAATTCAGAGCAAAAATTGAGAGCTCTAAATGTCGGGGAAGACCGAAAACGCTGGAAAAATCCCTGCGAAATATGACGACAATCTGGTGTTGTTCCTTTGTCGTGGTTCGGAGCGGAAGAAAGTTAGTTTTCGAACGCGTGACGCCGTTCCCAAGTTTAAATTCAAGGTGCTGTATGCTGCTTTGTCAGTGTTGATTTGATTTTTGTTTCTCATTAAGAGAGTGACACAAATTACATGTATTTATTTTAGAGCTTGTTAAAGTGAGAAGAAAAGAGAACTGAATTCCAATTCGTACAGAAAACAGTGAACGAAAAGCCACTTAGGATTTTCTTTTCGTTCATAATTTCGTTCCGTCAGCCGGTCGGTCGTTGTTCGGTCGGTCGTTGTTCGGTCGGTCATTGTTCGGTCGGTCGCTTTTCGGTCGGTCGTGTTCGGCTCTCGTTCATTCGTCCATATCTTCTTTGTTTGCTCTATGTTTCCATATCTTCTTTGTTTGCTCTTCACTTTGTCCATTTGTTTTGTAGTTCGTTTATGAGTACGCAGATCTGTGTATTCGACCATTTATTTCTATTTTCTTCCCAATAACAGGCACGACAGAGCTTGGAGAAACTGTTGTCCAATGTAAAAGGAGACTCTGTTGAGCTTGAAAACAAATTACAGGTAAGATAAAGTTTGTTCTTATCTGTTTTAACGAACAATAAAAATCGCAAGTGCAATGGAACTGCATGTGTTTCGCAAGCTTGTCGTTGATTAAGCTTCGTTTCTGCTGCGCATTCGGTAGTGACCCTCTGGCACACAAGAGCAGACAAGATAGTCACCAATAGGAAGTAACTGTCTCGTAAGATTTGAAGGAGGCACTTTTGCAGCATTCAAAGTTGCGTTCAACGTGAAGGGCTGCGAAATACTTGATTAGAAAGCTAGAAGAAGTCATAAGAGGCAATAGCAAACCAAGAAAGAACAAGCATGGCTAAGTGTTGAGAAGATTGCAGTGGATTGCAAATAGTGAATGTAACTTCCCTCTTTAACCTTCTGAAAAATAGTTACCAGCATTAGGTTACAGACTTAACTACTTTTTAATGTTTATTTACCAGTCTGAGACGCTCTCGCGAACCCAGCATGAGAGAGAGGCCGAAGAGCACAGGGAACTGTGGGAATCGGAAGTGAGATCAAGAACAAAGCTCGGAGCGAAGGTAGAACGCACATGTGTAACAAAAACAGTAGAAACTGGTGATAAATCGGGTGTACAAGTCCGCTAACTTGAAATGTTTAATGCTTTAGATCGCAGAGATGGAAAAGCGGTTGGATGAAGCTCGGGTGGAGATCGAAGAGGTGAGGATGTGGACAGATTTAAAAATCTGGTAATTTTATGATGCTCTGTAAACGACTTCTCTTTGCTTTTAATGCAGGAAAAACGTAGAACGCGTAAAGCTCTGGAAGCGAAAAAGGTTCTTGAAGCTAAGCTAGAAGCCAGTGACCAAAGGTTAGGCTACAGTCGATGGTTTGAACCCGAGGGTAACATTGAATCATCTGGTCTGATCGTACGGGTAAGCGTAGTTCTGAGAAGGACTGTTGTCGGTGGCTGACGTTTTGACGCTCTAAACTGCGATTCTGCGCAATGTCTAACCTACAGTGCTAACTATTTGCAACGACTGACCCTTGAGTTGGAAAAAAAGAGGCGTCGACAACTACCAGACAAAGGACTTATTTACCACATTTACGCCACAAAAGAAACCGAAGAATAACGATTTAACATTACCGACGGACCGAAACTGACCGATCAGGACCGACTATCACAGCCAATAACATCACGGCTAAACTGACCGATAAGTTTACACGACCCTGACTAAAAACAGTCGACTGACAACAACTATTCACATGACTCTGATGATGACTTTCGCTCAGGTTGTCGAAACCTCAGTCACCACTTCCAACAACAGTCCCTTTCAGGACTACACTCACCCGGGCAAACAGACTACACGATCAAATGAAATTTTGAACCTTTTACTCTTGACTCGTTTCGCATTATCATTTTAAATGACTGACATGACCTTGTATCCCAGTTCAGCTCTTTTTTTTCTTCCTTTTTACAGAACATCTCAGCATCAAAGAGAAGTCGTTGCTCTTAAAACACAGCTTAAGGCTTACAAACGACGTTTCAAAGTGAGGCATATAAGCTTGATCACATTTTTTAACTCTCTCTCATTTTGTTATACATTGCTTTAGCGAATTTGGTGTTTGACAGTTACTTCTTAATCTTTTAAAAGGAATACGAATCTTCGGAGAGCCGGATACCAGCTCTTCGAGTTGAATTTGACAAGGAGCGATCTGCCATGGAGTCGCATATTACTTCATTACGAAGACAGGTTTGTTTCTTGGTTATTTTTAGGACTAGTTTTCACCAACGACAGAGTCGAAATCGGAGTGGTTGTTTTAGTCATAAGAGCGCTTCTGTCACAGAGCAAATCGAAACAGGGGGCGGTTTTTGTGAAAAGTTATGGTTTGTTTACTTGTGATCTCCAGAGAAGGTGAGCCTTTCTTCGCGATGTGATTGGTCTAGAAAACTCGCGCGACTCTCTCTTAACCAATTAGATTCAAAATAAAAACCAATTGCAAATTGAGCATTCGCGTTTTCGCGCGCTTCAGAGAGTATTTTGTGCTCTAGAGATAGTTATGATAACGACTTAAAGGAACAAGTATTTAATATCGATTTCCCTTTTATAATCTGATAATTTTCAGGGTTCGTGATATTCCTTAAACTCCTTGAAAACTACTTGAATATATTTTGCAAATTTAAGGGTGCTTGAAAACTTAAAAATAAGAAATTTTAAAAAAAATCCTTAAAAACTCCGTGAATTTTTTACTGAAATACGCATTGAATGTGAAAAAATATATTTTTTTTTTGTGTTTGGTAGTTGGATAATCTGGGCGAGAGGCTTCACCAAGAATCGGAGAATCGCTCACGAGCTGAGTTGACTTGCAAACAACAGCAACAAGGTAAACATAGGCTATGTTAACAAAGGGTTAGCATGCTGTGCTCTTATTTGCTTCGGCCTAAAGAAATCGGGGCAGGCTCTCGAAGGTCGGCAAGTCAAGTTTGATTTATGAGTCGTCCAAGGTTGAGGGGTCTGGGTTCGAGATCTGGCTGGCTCGATGTCTTGTGTGTAGCCCCCCACCACCACCACCACC